ACAGGCCCCTCTCATCTTTTTAAGTGGGAGAACTTGCACAATTGGTGGCTGACTAAATACTTTTTTGCCCCTCTGTGTGTGTATATATATATATATATATATATATATATATATATATATATATATATATATCTTGATCAAAATTCAGTTAAATTCACTGATATCCCACTAACTCTTGGCAGAAAAGGCAGTTTCTTAACTTGGAACTTAGATTCTTATCTTTCAATAAAGTGAATATCAACAAGAGTGTGCCATGGAAAAATAAAAATGTGACCCTGGAGCACAAAACCATAAAAGTCATAAGGGTCAATTTTTTTAAATTGAGTAATAAATAAGCTTTCTATTGATGTGTGGTTTGTTAGGACAGGACAATATTTGGCTGAGATACAACTATTTGAAAATCTGGAATCTGAGGGTGCAAAAAAATCTAAATATTGAGAAAATCATCTTTAAAATTGTCCAAAGGAAGTTCTTAGCAATGCATATTACTAATCAAAAATTAAGTTGATATATTTACAGTAGGAAATTTACAAAATATCTTCATGGAACATGATCTTTATTTAATATCCTAATGATTTTTGGCATAAAAGAAAAATCGATAATTTTGACCCATACAATGTATTGTTGGCTATATATGAACAAATACATAAAAGCAACTTTAAATAGTCACTACACTTGCAAAGCAGGTGTAATTTTCAAAGTTAAAGAAACAACCTGTAACATGTTTCTTGTGCATCATGTACTTTTTTTCTTTTTTTTAAAAGAGTTAGTTTGCACATTTGATGATGAGCCTATGAATGAATCATGTAGTTCTTGCAAGTTTTGACATGACAAATCTTATTACCCCATTCTCAACAACCACACAGTATGGTTTATGCGTATGAAGTCAAATCTATCTGCATGTTGCATCGTGACTAGCAAAACACACACACACACACTTGAATTCCAGTCTATTCCAACTGACACTTGCCCACAAATGGGGAAACTCCTTTCTTAAGAAAAGAACCTGGTATTAGTCAAATTGATAGACGTGGAGAGGAACACGTACAAAAAATATTTTGAACTCTTAGGGTATTTAGGCTATATCTAAAAATGTGATATTTCCATCTTAAGTGCAAACAAGTTTTTAAAAATGTTCCGCATGGTTAAGTTGGTTGGTGTTTTAATGCCATGCCTTGGCCATTTTCATGGTGAGTAACATGGTGAAACACTATAAAACTGCAAATTAAAAAAAAAAACCTTTGGATAACAACTCTAAAATGCATTTATTGTTGACTGTTCTCAAAAGTTCTCTTTGCAGGGTAATAAAATGACAAATGAAGAGATACTGGACTCTGTCGCTTTAAACATGTATGACTTGACTTTCCTCTGAGAAACACAAAAGATGACATTTTGAATATCCTGGTCGTTTTTTCCCATGCAATTACAATGAACGAAGACTTACGCTGTTAAACCGCAACAAGAACAAAAACACTTAAAGTAGTGCACATGATTTCTGAAGTCATATGACAGCTTTGTGTGACTAACCAATTGATAATCGAGCCAGTGAATTATTTATTTTTGCCTTTATTATGAAAGGACAGATCTGAGCTGACAGGAAGTGAAGTGGGAGAGAGATAGGGGGGCAGGATCGGGAAACGTCCTCGAGTCAGGGTTCGAACTCGGGACACCCATAGCACAACGGCGCTGTATGTCGGTGCACTGCCCACAAGGCTATCGGTGGCGACAAGAGCCAGTGAATACAACTCAAAAATGGATCTGATTTGCTAACTAGACCAACTGAGTCACCAAAAGATTTTACTCAAAACAATGATTTGTTCACAAATTAGGGACCTAATCTAATTTGTGAACAAATCATTGTTTTGAGTAAAATCTTTTGGTGACTCAGTTGGTCTTAGCTCATGAACATGCCAAAGAAAACCAAGATGAAAGTCAATAATTTCAGTGAATAACGCCAACTTTTGGTCTAATAAAGTTATGTGAATTCATGGTGCACTAGTTCTACTCCTCGAGTCAGGGTTCGAACTCGGGACACCCATAGCACAACGGCGCTGTATGTCGGTGCACTGCCCACAAGGCTATCGGTGGCGACAAGAGCCAGTGAATACAACTCAAAAATGGATCTGATTTGCTAACTAGACCAACTGAGTCACCAAAAGATTTTACTCAAAACAATGATTTGTTCACAAATTAGGGACCTATCTACTTAGCTCATGAACATGCCAAAGAAAACCAAGATGAAAGTCAATAATTTCAGTGAATAACGCCAACTTTTGGTCTAATAAAGTTATGTGAATTCATGGTGCACTAGTTCTACTTGTATGATAGTTTTGTGGTATTACTTTGTCATTTTGGAACTTGAGCTTCATTTGCATTCTTCAAGACATTATAGGTAGCACTAGAGCTGTGGTGATAAATCGATTCCAGAAAGAATCGCGATGCACAAATCAATTCTGCATCGCGATTCTTTCTGGAATCGATTCTGAGCTTAGATTTTAACAGCATATGGCGCTCTAATCTAGTTATTATCCGCACACTCAAATGCTCATGAATAAGAGCACTTGTGAGTTCGGCTTAATCATGTAATTTCACCTCAGCTCAGAATGCTTTTATGACGCGACATTAATGTAAACAGCCCACTGTGAACACCCTTGTAATTCGCTTCAACCTTTTCAAATTTTATGAATGATTATTTTAGGTTCAAGTAGGGCTGGGCGATATAACTAAAAAATATATCAACGATATATGTTTCATGTCGTTCGGTATCGATAATTATTTACATTTTTTATAACCTTTTTTAAAACAGAGCAATATAATAATTTTTTTTTATTTAACCACTGTATTTTTAATTTTCCCACTTTAAGACAAACAACAAATATATATAGGCATATATATAATTTTTTAACAGTCAAACACAAGATACGACAAACTAATATCTCCTTTCTTATGTTTTATATGCAGATTAAATAAGACTTAAGGAAACTTTTGACTTGGTTCCCGAGGCGACAGGCGGGCGCAATGAGCAAAATAATGCAGCGCATTAAACTGTCAATTCAAATAACTGTCTATAAAAACGTGCATAACACAGATTGCATTTAAAAACAAATGAGACGCAGTGAAATGAAAAAAACCTTCACAAATTCGCGTCGCATTTTTCTAAACGTTAAAACTGTTTTACCTTTGCATGACTTTCTTTGCATATCTTGCATGAGACGCGAGTGCAGCAGTCATATTTGTCCGTCTAAAAATGTGCTCAATATGCGTTCTGTGTGAATGGCTTGGTTTCGGTTTTAACCTAATCAAAATCTTCTACGCATTGAGCTTCTATATTTCTCTAATATTTTGAACGAATAACACAGCAGCGGCGCGTCTCATGGGCAACACTAACAAAACATTAAAATGCAACGTCACTTACATCATCATCACCGCATCTCGCGCACCACTGATGACGCTCCCTGACGCACATCTAACATTCAATTGTACCATTTTTGCATTCAAATGCAAATGTTTATTTTAAATTCGACTAATATTAATGTTTTTATTCACAATCTCCTCATCACAGGCACAGCACTCAATTCAGCATGTGTTCGTGTTTGTGTGAGCTGTCTGCATCACTCATAGTACGTGCCTATATCGAACATTTTTTATATCGTTATCGATGAAGGTGTACCGTCGATAAATATCCATCCCGTTTTATCGCCCAGGCCTAGGTTCAAGTGTGTATAATGCCGAGTTCACACTGCACGATTTTCAAACTCGTCGGATCGCCGTTGTTTTCACACTGCGTGACTATCTGGGGTAGCAGTCAGTTGCTGCTGTGTTCACATTGCACGATGGATCGGCGACAGGGGGTTTCACACTGCATGACTTCACAATAGGAAGAATCGCCGACAGCTCTGTCTGGTGCAGGGTTGCCAGGTTTTCGCTACAAAACCCGCTCAATTACTACTCAAAACTAGCCTGAAAATAGCCCAATTGCTTTCGAGTTCGGGGGGTAAAATACAAATTTTTTGGCGGGGTTCTCCTGGTACAATTCACATTCCAGGGCCTGAATATCACGTTATTGGGGTCGCTTCAACCTGCTGACATAAAAAACAACTGGCAGCGATCGCGGATTTGGCAACACTGGTCTGCAAACTACGTTTCATATAACTCCTCCCCGAACTTCCCATTGCCCTGTATCTTGGTCTCTCATTGGCTGTAGGTCATCGCCGATGTGTTTTTCAGTCAGAACTCATTTCACACAGCGTGATTGTGAATCGCCGACAGCTCCAGATATTTAGCATGCCAAATATTTCACGGGCGTCGGCAACGCATTGTCGATTCCCTCAGATCGCGTCTTTGATAATTCACACTGCGTGATTGTCACTCGCGTGAACGAGCACCGATCTGCCTCCGATTTCAGGCATTTGTCGGCGATTTTGCAAAACCTGTCGGCGAGTGAAAAATCGGGCTAAAATCGTGCAGTGTGAACTCGGCATAAGGGTTTGGAAACAAGCAGAGTAGGGCTATTTCTGAAGCATGCAGAGCCATCTGCTGTTCAAAACTAAGCTCAGAATCGACTCGAGAAAGAATCGCGTGACAGTTTAAGCTTGACGTCGACTAGTTGCTGGTCCTATAGAGGGCGCAACAAGGTAAGAAATATTTGAAGTCCACATTCACGCTCTGTTTCCAAACAGTTAACTTGACAAATAAACGCATACTCTGAAAGCACGAGTTCCACAAGACGTGTGTGATTATACCATCTGGATGCTCGAAATTGAACGGGAGAATGCACGTTTTAAACAGCTTATTGCACAGGTAAGTTAATCGCCGTTCTAATCTAATGTGCTGCTGCACTGTAACACACAGACATAGCTACATAATTCATTCAGAAGCACGGAAATGTACTGTCAACACTGTTCTATGATTTCTCAATATGATTTCTTCAGGTAGAATGAACTCACACACAATCGCTCGCTTACTAATGTGTTCATATGAATGTAAGCTTTACTGTGCTACTTTATCTGTATCTGATTTAGAATGAGAAGAAATCTGTGAGAAATATAACGACCCAAAGACTAAAGAACTGATAAAAATGAGCTGTTATAGGAGAATTAGCCATGTGGGCAGTGACTAGTCGACGTCGACTTGACTTTCATCACATAAATGTCGACTTTAAAAAATCTGAAGTCGTTCAACCCCTACAAGACATTCTGCAAAAATGTACATTAGGAAAAAAGCCTTAAGCCCTATTCACACAGACACAGCAATGTGGAAATGAAAAAAAATAATAAAGACTGTGATGCACCAAATTAAAATGTAAAGTTTTTATTTAACCAAAAACTTGATTCGAAAATAAGATTCATTCAGACATGCATTAAAGGGGTCCTATTATGCTTTTTCACTTTTTAAATTTTAGTCAGTGTGTAGTGTGTATGTTTGGGCATAAAAAAGATCTAGAAAGTTACAAATCTCAAAAGTCCACTCCAAAGGGAGATATTTTGTTTTTAAAAAAATCCCTTTTCAAGAACTACAACGAACGGCTCGTTTGGACTACAGCGTTGGTTTCCGGGCTTTGTGATATCACTTTGTGAGTGGCTCATTAGAAGATCATTAAAAATAATTCCCGCCTACAGAAATTCGAATGGTTGGGGGGTGGGGAGGGGCGAGGTTGTGGTTAGAACGCTTGGTTGAGTGCATCAGATGAGACGATGAAGAAGAAGAAGTGCTGCTGCAGATTTAGTGCATCAGAGAAGACGAAGAAGAAGAAGAGCTGCTGTGCTGTAGCCTCAAATTTTCGGCATGTCTAGAACAATTCTTACAAGTATAACACGACGCGGAACGGCGCCGCCGGTGTGCCTACACTCATAGAAAATAAAGTATTTGAATTTTAAAGACGTGGCGCGACGCAACGCTGCGCTTCTCGTCTGGTGCACGACTGCCTGAAACGCTGTTTTTTTTCACCTCCGTGCCCAGACGGCTTTGTTTGGGCTTCTGAAAGTGGATGATGTCAGGAAACTATTTATTTTTAAGTTCCTGAGCATTATAACCCCAATTTGCTATTGTGTGCTGCGCATTTTACTGAGGACAGCTTCCACAACACCAGGGAGTACAGTGCCAGATTCGCCCAAAAGCTTTTGTTGAAAGAGCAAGGAGCAAGGCAGTACTGAAACACCATCTAAGCTGTTCGCTAATCACAACGCACTGGGAAAGCTAACCAATCACAACCCATTTTGTTTTTCGGAAGGCGGACCTTCATCAAAGCCGGAACTAATCGAGCCGTTTGTGCCAGGATGGGGAGAAAGGTATTTTAATGTAAATTATGTGAAAAATAATGTGTTTTTCGAACCACCAAGCATGAGAGCATGTTCTAGTACACCCCCAAAACAAAATCAAGACTTTGTAAAAGAGCATAATAGGACCCCTTTAAATAATGGAGACAAAAGCACTGCTGAACTGATCCATTTCAGCAATTAAAATAACATTTGTTTGAATTTCTCCTTTGTGTGAATTTTGACATTTGTTTGAATTCAAAAGCCTTTGTTTCATATCACAAGTAACAATGCACAAAGTATGGCGTCAAAAGTGGGACAAAACAGCGCAAGCGCATGAACACAGCGCGCAAGCGAATTACAGTACTGTGCGCACAGTGACAAAGCGTTGGTGCATCACTACTAAAAACTGAGTAGCGTTTTCAGAATGCCACATCATGCGCGAGATGCTGCAAAAGACGCACATGCAACGGTCAAGCAATTCGATTTAAAGCATGATTACATAATAAAGAAAAATGCAAAAACTCGTTCAGTGTGAATGGTTTAAAATGTCTTTCAGAGGGTATCTTCAAGTTCATGTAGTTCCTTCGACTTGAAATCAGAGTCATGAGTGATATCATCCTCAACACCCATTTGTTGTAAACAAGTCCAGAGTCTTGAGAGATGCTGTTAATTGATTCGTTGAGCTGTTGCATAATGTTTTTGGTCAGCACACAGCTGGCCTAGAATCAATGACCTCCTACCGCTGGTGGGAGTCACGTGGGCCCCTGTGATTCATGCGGATCACCCGGTGTTACCACCTCCGTCCACACGCACTCCAACAGGCGCCTCCTGCTGTTTAGCAGAATGCATGCTATAGCTTAGTTAAAAGGCTTATTTAAATCTGCAAGCATTCATTGTTTTACAGAGAAAATGAGGATGGAAATGCTGATGAGTCTCAGTCTACACTTTGAAAACCCTTTAATGAATCAATCTAATATTTAATCATTTTCCAACAACCCGCACACTTAGCCAGTCAACACTGCAAATGGCAAAAGTCAAGTGGTAAATGCCCAGTGTCAAAATGCTACTTAATTACAAGAGCATGGCACCCATGGGAGGGGCTCTTAAGTAATTTTTCGGACAAATCAACTTCTAAAAACACTGATTTGACTTTGGTCCTAAAGCTACACATCTAAAATGATATGACACTATCTTAAGTAAAATCATTCAAAACATTCATCCAAGTTAAAATATTTAAAATTTTCACTACATAACGCAGGTTAAAGTCTATTTGTAGATGTAACCACACAATTGAACTTTAAGTGTCGGATAAGCAGATTGTGAACTACTGTGAACTAGCTGGCATAGAATCAATGACAATCCTTGCTAGCTCACAATCTATGCTCTGCTGCTTTCTTCATTCTAAATTCTGAAATTCTCAATTCTAATCCAAAACAAAGGAATCCATTACACAACCCCTATTTGAACTCTGATTTACAAGGGCTTAACACTGTGCTGGATTTAGCCAGCCGTTGCAGTTTTATAGAACATGTGTGAAGAAAAAAGTTTACCAAATTCAATTAATCATGAAAGCCAACTGATTTTGTAATCTGAATTTGTGAGGACATCTTTACAAAAACATGCAGGTTTGCTCAATAATGAAAATACTGTAATTTACTCATATTGTTCCAGACAAGTATGACTTTTTCTATGCATGCTCATTGGAAATACGTGACTATCTCCCTTTCTGCAAAACCCAAAAACGTACAGGTATCTATACGTACAAACCGCTGCAGTGTCCAGTTGAAATGAACACTAGAGGCAGTAAAACTTTAGCAACTTTTATACCTTTCCACTAGGGCTGCACGATAAATCGCATGCGATATTTAATGCGCATCTTGTCAGAAAGCCGGTTCTGTAATCAGCGGTAAATCTCCATCACCTGCGGGCTTTCAGATTGAGCAGCATTAACTACACAGAGCCATTGTTCACTGACGAGCTGCGCAAAAAATCGCGCGAATATGAACGTGGTTTTGCGCAGCTCGTCAGTGAACAACGGCTCTGTGCAGTTAATGCTGCTCAATGTGAAAGCCCGCAGGTGATGGAGATTTACCTCTGATTACAGAACCGGCTCTACTGATAAGATGCGTGTTAAATATCGCATGCAATTTATCGTGCAGCCCTACTTTCCACACAAAGTATGATTTACAGGTCCAGAGTTTTGATTAAGAAAGCCTAACTTTCAAACAATTCCTTGCACAATATTATATTACAATTTCAAAATGATTTTCACATGCTGCGAGATTTGAAAACTGATTAGCGTCACATATACAGCTTCATGTGAATGGGTTTTGAAAATGCAGTAGGTTTGCATTGCACTTCTGAGGTGAAGCGCTCCGGTATGAATCCCATGAAACTACGGTCAGACAAAACAACTCAAACCAACGTATAAGGAAGTTAAAATAGCAGGGTTGCATCAGCGGTTGATCATTTTTATATCACTTTTGCTTCCGTTAACACTATTGTGTAAGTTTAGAGTTGGGTTTGGTGTAGGGTGTTTGTTATTTTCCAACACGATAGAGTAGGGCTGGACAATAATTCAATATCAATATGTATCGCGATATAATTTTTTTCAATAACGGTGATATGATTTTTAAACACATTTCCGATATAGATTACCAGTTTCCCATACACTGATTTATTTGTGGCGTTTGACTTCGTTGAATAAACATGAGCACTGCATGTTTCAAAATCAAAACGCGTCGCGGGTGTTTTATATGAATGTATCTCTGAAGGGAACCGACTGTCTTCAGAATAGTTTAGATGGCATTTTTATCTGATAAAGTAGCGTTCATGAGCGGAGCTGCTTTGATTACAGCCATTACTGGAGAAACCGCTAGTTCCACCCATAGACTGTATGATTTCTCCTCTCTCACAGCGCCTCCTGCTGGCAGACAAGCAGTTTGCATTTTCAATAATAAACCCATTTCCAGCAACATGCTTTTGTTGTTGCTCTATTTTTTTGTTTTCTGAAGCAACTCGGAGCATGTTTCATACTCGTTATTCTTATAACTTGAAGACATTGCGGCAGAAATGTATTAGCCTACTATTGCTCAGTAGAATGTACGTAATAGGCTCCTACTACTACTAAAATTATTAAAACCTTATTTTTAAGGAATAATCATACAATATTTCTTCAATGTTTTAAATGTAATATTAAATCCCCTTTATTTTCCAAAAAATTAAATGTTTAATTTTCATTAATTAAAAGATAAATTAAATGAATGTTTTATGCCTTAATGTAAATATAGCCGTAAACCTAGGGGAAACACTGTATCTACAACAGTAAAAGAACCAAAACCCCAGAAGAAATAAATAATATAATTTATAAATATATATTATATAACAAACAATAGGCTAAAAATGACAAACTATTTCCATGTCTTCCACCTTTTTTATGTAGGCTATGGAAATCACGCTTTCGTATCTCTCACAGACGCACACACAGTGCAGACATACACTCGCACACACACGCGGAGACGCGAACAGAAATTTGCGGGTCAGCACTGACAAAAGTTTATCAATAAAATAGTTTCGCAGCTGAAAAGCTACATGACATTTCTCAGTAGCGAGGTTCATGAAGGGGTTTAACTTAAAGATTCGCTATTAGTAGACGCTGCTGCTGAACGCTGCTGAGAGACGCATAGACGCAGGTATTCACACGCTATGCAACTGTCCTAATGATCTATGACAATCATTCTCATGCAAAATTGCTGTTAAATTGTTTTATGGTTCTGAATATAAAATGTTAATCTGAAATGTACTACAGTTCATCATTTCAATTAGATCAAATTATCAAAATCTGCAGGCATTCGATTGTGAGCCACAGCACAAGAAATCAGTCTCAAGACGTGCTTTAAAATGCATGCGGTCACAAAAAAAGGCCCTTTCAGGGCGATGGTTTGATGGCTGTCAACATTGTGCTTCATTGGGGACAGGAGCGAACATTTAGCAAATATCAGAAATCTGCTCTTGACATGAATATCATCCTTCCCACTAGAGTTATGAGTCACACAGTAATGTAAAATCCTTCTGGCTCACTGTCAGTACAACCCTCCCTTTGTTCAAGAACTACTGAATTTTCAATCATAATCAAATGTCAATTTGTGCCTCTGAGGTTTAAGTAAGCTAGTACTCAATGTACTCATGCAAAACCACATTAAAAACACCTCTAATGGACATTTTGTTCATAGAGAAAAGTTCTACAAATTACATATTTTAATGAGACAACTTAGCAAGAATTCTTGGAGGCAACGCAGCACGGTGTCCATCAGCAGATGTCGCTGTTTTAATGGCATAAATGTCTTTTTAATCTTATTAGCATAACTGTTGCAAATAAACATACATTTTATATTTTAAAAAGTTATAAAAAAAGTTTTATATATATATATATATATTAGTTCTATTTGTGTTTTAGTTATTTATAGTTATTTATAATAAGTAGGCTCATTTTGGATTATAAAGTTTGTTAAATTGCTAAATACCCTGCCTCCATTACATATTTTTGTCACACCATAAGTGTTTGATCACCACACTTGAGTTATCATTGCTAAAATTTATGTATATATATATATATATATATATATATATATATTTATTCTGTTTATGTAAATTCTGTATTCTATATACAGTACCAGTCAAAAGTTTGGACACACGAATGGGAAGTGTGTCCAAACTTTTGACTGGTACTGTACTATAAAATATACAAAGAATATCGGCTGATATATCGATATCAGACTTTTTTACTCCCTAATATCGGTAACATATCGGCATTGGGCCCAAAAAACCCATATCGGTCAGTCTCTAGTTTTGTAAATAATAGCCTACTGTATATGCCCGACATGCCAATAAAGCTTTGATTATGCTGACTGGAATTTTATGCAATTTAAAGTTTGAATTTAACATTTAATTTTACTTCAGCTAATCAACAGACTATAATTACAAATACTATAGTGTTTCATTTGTAAATGAAAACACAACACGCTCATTTATCATCACACACGGGCATAAATACAATCATAATTGTCAGGCGTTTAATAGTATTTGCTAAATATACGGTAGCAAATACTAGCATAATTAACGTTATACAGAACGTTAATTAGGTAAAGCGATACACGAATTGAAAGGGGAAATAATTATATATAACAATACATCTAAAAATATAGTCCTAACAAGTTCATATAACAACAACAACAACAACAACAACATACAAATATTAAATGAAATGCTTAATGTCAATAAAAATGGGCATGACGGGAACAGTTTTAAGCTGGTTTAGTTCCTATTTGAAGGACAGGAGATTCTGTTTGCCTTGGCAACCTCATGTCATCAGCTGCCAATCTCCCATGTGGGGTCCCGCAGGGATCTATACTAGCTCCTACCCTTTTTTCTTTATATATGCTCCCATTGGGCTCTATTTTCCAAAAGCATGGTGTATCTTTTCATTGCTATGCCGATGACACCCAGATTTATTTGCCCCTTAAATGCTCAGTTAACATCTCCCTGGGCCCTCTAATGGAGTGTATGGAGGACATAAAAATCTGGATGTCATCAAATTTTCGTAATCTAAACGAAAAAGTAAATGGAAATGATATTCTTTGGTCCCCCTAGTGGCATTCCCACAAAGTTTGTTAATGATCACCATGTCACATTTCAAGCCAAAACTCTTGTTAAAAACTTTATCAAGCATTTTGCTTGATAATGAGCTGAAACTAGACAAACAAGTAAACTCAGTGGTTAGATCCTGTGTTTTTCATCTCCGCCTTCTTTCCAAAATGAAGTATTTTCTCTCTTTTCAAGATTTTGAAAGAGTAATTCATGTTTTTATATCATCACGGTTAGACTACTGTAACTCACTTTATTGTGGAATGAACACTACTTCCCTGGCCCATCTCCAGTTGATTCAAAATGCGTCAGCAAAACTTTTATTGGGCCTCTGTAAATCCACTCACATTACACCTGCGTTAGCATCATTGCATTGGCTGCCTGTCCGGTTTAGAGTGGAGTTCAAAACCCTAGTTTTTGTTTTTAAGTCCCTTAACAACTTCGCCCTCTCATATCTATCTGAGCTTCGATCTCCACATATGCCTTCTCGAGCTCTTCGATCAGGTAGTCATAGATTGCTCAATGTTCCCAGAGCCAGACTTAAATAAAGAGGTGAACGTGCCTTTGCTGTTGCGGGTCCTAAACTCTGGAACAGTTTACCAGTTCATATTAGATCTGCTCCTATAATACAGTTTTTTAAATCTTTGCTTAAAACTCATTATTTTTCCATTGCTTTTAATGTCCCTTGATGATTCATTTTTTTAATCCTGTTGATAATTTGTCTCTGATTTTATCTGTGATATTTTTTTTAATTGTTTTGCTTGCATTTATTTTATCTGATGCTGTAAAGCACATTGGTCAGCTGCCGCTGTTTTAATGGTGCTATATAAGTAAATTAAACTTGAAACATGTTTTATCTATATGCTATGTTTCTACATAGCATCTCAAGGCCACGACATATCCCAGGAGTTAATATGACATTCCCACGAGTTAATATGTCGTGGCCACAACAAAATTAAGTGAATTAAGTGATGATCTCATTACTCTGGTGTGTGTGGCTATCAGAGAGATGAGTGAGCGAGAAAGAGCAGCTGGTATCGGTGTATCGATAATGCGAAAAAAGAGCACTGAAATAGTTTCTACTGTGGATGTACCATCATGCATCCAATAACTGAGTAAGCTCCTATAATACAGTTTTTTAAATCTTTGCTTAAAACTCATTATTTTTCCATTGCTTTTAATGTCCCTTGATGATTCATTTTTTTAATCCTGTTGATAATTTGTCTCTGATTTTATCTGTGATATTTTTTTGTTTTGCTTGTATTCATTTTATCTGATGCTGGAAAGCACATTGGTCAGCTGCCGCTGTTTTAATGGTGCTATATAAGTAAATTAAACTTGAAACATGTTTTATCTATATGCTATGTTTCTACATAGCATCTCAAGGCCACGACATATCCCAGGAGTTAATATGACATTCCCACGAGTTAATATGTCGTGGCCACAACAAAATTAAGTGAATTAAGTGATGATCTCATTACTCTGGTGTGTGTGGCTATCAGAGAGATGAGTGAGCGAGAAAGAGCAGCTGGTATCGGTGTATCGATAATGCGAAAAAAGAGCACTGAAATAGTTTCTACTGTGGATGTACCATCATGCATCCAATAACTGAGTAAACATTTGCTGCAACACACTCTGACCAAGGCATCCATTGACCAATGAAGTATATATATATTTATATTTAGTCATTTAGCAGACGCTTTTATCAAAACTAACAAAAGAGCAACAATATATAAGTGCAAATGACAAGTCTTGGTAAGCCTAACGCAGTACACGTAGCAAGGTGTGTGTGTGTATATATATATATATATATATATATATATATATACACATATATACATATATATATATATACACATATACATATACATACATATACATATACATATATATACACATATATACACAGTGGTGTGAAAGTGTTGGCCCCCTTCCTGTTTTTTTAATGTTTTGCATATTTGTCACACTTAAAAGATTCAGATCATCAAACAAATTTTTATATTACACAAAGATAATGCAAGTAAATACAAAATGCCATTTTTAAATTATGATTTATTTTAAGGGGAAAAAGCTGTCCAAACCTGCCTGGCCCTACGTGAAAAAGTAATTGCCCCCTAAATCTAATAACTGGTTGTGCCACGCTTTGCAGCAACAACTGCAATCAAAGGTAGAGTTGAGTGTCATCAGCATAGCAGTGATATGAAAAGCCATGTTTCTGAATGACAGAACCTAGTGATGCCATGTAGACAGAGAAAAGAAGTGGTCCAAGTACTGAGCCCTGAGGCACCCCAGTAGCTAGATGTTGCGACTTGGACACCTCACCTCTCCAAGGTACCTTGAAGGACCTATCTGAGAGGTAAGACTCAAACCACTGGTGTGCGGTTTTCCAATAGGGTTGACAGGAGAATCTGGTGGTTCACCGTATCAAAAGCAGCAGACAGATCCAGCAAAATAAGTATAGGAGATTTGGAAGCCGCTCTTGCCAGTCTTAGGGCTTCAACAACTGAAAGCAAGGCAGTCTCGGTCAAATGGCCACTTCTGAAATTAGATTGGTTGCTGTCCAGGAGTTGTTCTGTGTAAGTAACTCCAGTCTAACTGACCTGGGTCTATCTACACCCTTCAAACACATCTTCTCAGTCAGCGCTTTCTCATGTGTATGAGATGCCCAAGCCAAAAGTGCCAACAATGGACCCTTTTCACATTTCCAGAGTTCTCAGAAGTAGTAGTCATAGCTGAGTAAACTACTGTGGTGACTATATTTGTGAAAAAAGAAGAAAAGAAAAAAAGAAAAAGCACAACCGTGATTCCATGATTTTACAAACGATTTACAATGCTAATAACTGTGTGAATGCATCATCAGCCTGTGAAAAGGGTCCATATGTAAGAGTTACGGATGTTAACTCTTAGATACAGATGTTAAACTCTTAGACCTGAAACACTTCCACAAATGCCATGCTCACTCCATGCACACTCACGGCTGCCAAAGTGCAATGTAATACACGCACAGAGATTATACCCATCACTGATGGCCTTTCACCTGCAGTTTGGGAAGGCCCGATAGAAAGCCATGGAGGGATTCCTTGCAGATAAAAGAAAGAAAAAGAGAGAGAGATAAATAAGGTAATATAATGTCAAAGTTTTAGAAGGAAAGACCAAAACAAATCTTCTGTGATGCCTTAAGGGCTTTCAAAACACAGTTGAATGGCCATTCATATCTAAGAGTGAAAAGGCTCAGGGTGTGAAACAGCTCTGGCGACTGAGCCCCAAGCTACAGGCCTGAAGTATTCAAAGTTCAGAGTGAATATATGCCGAACAGCCACTGAGTGTGAGACACGGATCCCCTACACAAATGATCACATTGATTTACAGGCAAGTTTATACAGCTTAACTAAAAGGAGATTAATTCGATTTTCTTTGGTCGATCATGCAACACAGTGAATGTTACAAAGTCGCCATTATCCTTTGACCAGCAATGACTTGACTCACTTATTATAGTTTTTTTTTTTTATCTGGCTTCACTGGAATTGTGTGCAAGCTCATTTCTGCAACTGAATAAAAAATTAAAATGGTTACTGTGAGTTTTTGTATCACAATTCAGTTTTTTTCCCTCACAATTTTGAATTCTTTTCTCAGAATTGTGGGTTTAAATCAGGCAATTCTGATGAAAGTCGGAATTGCGAGTTTATATCTTGCAGCTCTAACTTCATAACACACAATTGTGAGTTTATATCCAACACTTCTGAATTTATAGCTCCCAATTGCAAAATCATATCTCATAATTCCCAGAATAAACTAACAATTGCGAGATAAAAAAAAAGTCAGAACTGCAATATAAAAAAATGCATTTGCGAGAAAAAGTCAGAATTGTGAGATAAAAATTTGCAATTACCCTTTTTTATTTTTTATTCAACGGCAGAAATGGTCTTGCACAGAATTGCCGTGACTTCTTGTTTCCATAATAATAATAATAAAAAAGCAAATTAGCAAATTATAAATCTAAAGCATCTTAAACGCACACACACACAATTATTCCAAATGTTTAAATGTGGTCTTGGTCCAAACGTTGGCCTAGAATACAATACTGAATAATTTAACATTTACAGCAACAAAATAGATGTCTCTAACCCAACAGAAGTTGTGACAGAAATGGTATTTGTTTAGAAAACACAGAAGGTCAAACCTCATAATTAACACAACACCATTTAGTTACAAAAAGGTAGTTTGTGGGGAGAATCTGTAGAATAAATTCATTATGAAACAAAATGTGTTAAATGGAGCTAAGTGTGCTACACTCCAACTGGTACATGAACGTAATTTAGGCAATTTGGAGCAATTTAGCAATTAAAATATTTTAGAATTAAATCTTTTTTTTTTTCTTTTTTTTTTTTTTAAATAAGTAGAGCTTTTAACGTGAGGTCCAAAAAAAGTGTACAATTGCAAAAAGTGCATGCGCACAACATTTATAAAAGAAAATGAAGGACTTCATAGATTTGTACTCAAATTCTACTGAAATCTGCAAAGCTTTCTACAGAACTCTTTGCGAAAATTTCCATGTGGGCTTGGTAATTCTTGAACAAATGATTGCGTAAATTCAGTCAAAAAGACAAAACGGAAACAAATACAGAGAGAATGGATAATTAGCAAAATTCACTCAAATGGAGCTTAAAACAAACATTTGTGGAAATATTCTTTCATGTTTCCACCAAAAGATGACGACTGACAAATGGAATTACCCTGGGGACGTGAAGCTGGCAGAGGATTACGCAGAAACAGGTTTCTGTACACTGAGCTGTATAAGCTCTAATAACAAAGAACATATAGAAACAGAGCATTCAAAGAAGAGGGTATCACAAAAACCCTTATTTTTATTTCAGGATGTCTGCTATCAACTGAAATTAAAATAAATGGTCTATAACACAGGGACACAGAAATAGGAGTCTAAAAAAAAAAAAAAAAAAATCCTTAAAGGGATAGTTTTCTGTACACTGAGCTGTATAAGCTCTAATAACAAAGAACATATAGAAACAGAGCATTCAAAGAAGAGGGTATCACAAAAACCCTTATTTATATTTCAGGATGTCTGCTATCAACTGAAATTAAAATAAATGGTCTATAACAGAGGGACACAGAAATAGGAGTCTAAAAAAAAAAACCAAAAAATCCTTAAAGGGATAGTTCACCCAAAAATGAAAATGTGATGTTTATCTGCTTACCCCCAGGGCATCCAAGATGTAGGTGACTGTGTTTCTTCAGTAGAACACAAATTAAGATTTTTAACTCAAACCGTTGAAGTCTGTCAGTCACATAATGGAAGTGAATCACGGCTTTGCGAGTCAAAAAAACATACACAAACAAAACCAAATTAAACCCTGTAGCTCGTGGCGATACATTGATGTGTAAAGACACGAAACGATCGGTCTGTGCAAGAAACTGAACAGTATTTATATCGTTTTTTTACCTCTGATGCACTGCAATGTCTGTACTGTTCCTTTACTCAGTTACAGCGATAGCAATGCCTTTGTCCATATTAGCAAAACGTATAGGGATTTCCTGAGTCTTATTACTTCTGTGATGTGGAGTTTCTGCACAAGGGCGCCCTCTGGCGTCCAGTATGAATGAAACGGACATTAAATGTGTTTATTAGCGCTCAATAATGGCCAATCCATCCTATTTTGGGTATTTATTTTATTTTTTTAAGTATCGGTTCAGGCACCGGTACCATTTTAAAAGTATCGATTTGGCACCGGTATCGTAAAAAACCCAAACGATACCCAACCCTAATTAGGAGTTAAAACGGATCGCAGTTGATCCGTAATACGTATGGATGAGACCCTACAGTTCGGCACACACATGATTCACACATTAATTTGCCACAAGTAGAAGAAACGAAAGAGAGCTCAATTCGTTACTCACGTGCTGCTCTCGCACAAAATCAAAGCACGCACAAGCATAGAGACGTGTTTCGGACAGCGCGGAAATACAGAGTTGTGTATACAAATTAGCCTATGTCAAAAACCCTTCACAGCATTGGCATTCTCTGTGCTTTAAATATTTTTTTTTCTTGCTTATCCGTAAAAATTGTCCGATCTGTGACTCCAAAAAAAAAACACAATATAATGCGTTGAACCACTATATAATGCTATTATAATAATATATAATAGCCTAATATATATACATATACACATATATATATTAGGCTATATATATTCATATATATCTATTACCCCAAGCGATAATATTTTACAAACGTAACTGGTCCGTGGTGTAAAAAAGGTTGGAGACCCCTGTATTAACTCATTCAAAAAGTTAAACAAATTTCTAAATGCAATGTTATTTTGTCTCTGTTCAAAAGTAATCTCTGAGGTTTTACCATGGTTTCTTCAACCATCTGGAGATTTGGGTCCTAAGACTCAGATGACAGAAATGTCACTAGTCTGTTAAAAAAAAGTGAGCACACATTCTAAAGTTTCAGCTTCATATAAGGCTTTAGGAGTCAGTTACAGACTCAGCTGTAGGGTCAACGCTTTCATGTACAAGGGCACGTCTTCCAAAACATGAAAGCATGATGGCATAATATATACAAACGCCTAACTGTCAGAGCGCAGTGAGAGGACTGACGCACCTGCCCCATTACTGTGAGGAATAAGACATCACCACACCTGCTCTTCAAACAAACAAACTTCAGCTACTGCTATTTCTCAAACAGGTGAAAACGTCAGACTATACTCATTTTTCAAAATCTATTAACAAATGCTTTTGAAAATATAAAGACGTCAATAGTCAGGTAGGTGTAGTTGCACAATCCTTGGAAGATAACAATTACAACAACGGAGGATTGAAATAACAAACTTTCTTTTGAACGCAGAGTTTCATTGCATAAGCAAAAAAACTAAAATTTGTAACTGTTCAAACATATTCAAAGCTAAGCGGTTTTCAAGCCCTGTAAGACATTCTCTACAAATCCTGAGGCGTTCACCATAGCTTCAACCATGATGCCATTTAAGTCAATAAAGTGATTCATATCTTCATATCTGTTAAAAGGTCACTTCCTCTTTCTTATGGTGTTTATAGGGGAACAGAAAGTGATGAGTGAAAGTCAAAATTATCAAGGGCCATTTCCTGGGTATTTAGTGGAGGAGGATATGCTAGAGAACTGAGACATCTCGCATCATCCTCAGTTAATGCAATAATCTTTAGTATAAACAGATTATCTACTCAAACGCTGATGTGCATATCTCAGTCTAAAAGGTGAGAAAAAAAAGATGTCTTTGGTTTGGAACAGCCTCACCTTCTTTCAACAGCAGCCTAAAAGGTATAGTTCACACAAAAATTAAATTTTTGAATGTCCTCATACTCAAATCATCCAAGATGTAGATGAGTTTGTTTTTGCACGGATATAGACTTAGAGAAATGAAGCATTACATTACTTGCTCACCAATGGATGCTCTGCAGTGAATGGGTGCTGTCAGAATGAGTCCAAACAGCTGATGAAAACATAACATTTATTTGAAACTGTTTTGGACTGTTATAACTTATAAACAGCGCTTGATCTGTGCAGATTTCTCTCGATTCAGAGAAGACGACTGGAAGCAAGTTTGAAGTAAAAATGTCTTAATTTTGAATTTATTTTTTACAAACACAGTTTTTCACTTCACAAGATGTTAATTGATGGACTGGAGTGGTGTGGATTACTTGTGGGTTATTGTGATGTTTTTATCAGCTGTTTGGACTCTCATTCTGACGGCACCCATTCACTGCAGAGCATCCACTGGTGAGCAAGTGATGTAATGCTAGATTTCTCCGAATCTGATTAAGAAAGAAACTCATCTACATCTTGGATGGCCTGAGGGTGAGTACATTTTCAGCAAATTTAATTTTTTTTCAAGTTTACTCATCCTCAATAATATCAAGTCAAAATAAAACTGACCTGTTGCCTTGTCTATTTTCCAATCATTTTGGTAAATCTCACTGCCCAAATACGAGTGTGCGTGCATTTATGCCAACAAAATAAACAGAGGAAAAGCATATCAACTACCATCAATGACAGTAAATAAGCTATTTTGAAAACTCACCCTTTGCTGTCTTTCCTTTAACCTTGATAACATTTGCCACCCATGTTGCAATATTTCCAAGCATTTTCAAAAAAAAAGAAAGAAAAGCACATCAAACATCCTTCAGTTCTTTCTGCATCTTCGTTCCCTAATCTGTGCTGCACCAAAATTAAAGTCTACGTAATACAAAAAAAAAAACACATTTACACTAATATATTAGTAGTCCTAGACATTTTGCTTCATTAAAACCAGCATTTAGTGCATCAATTCTAAAAATCCGCTAAATAATTTGGTTTAAACTGCTTAATTGGTCATTAAAACAGTACTAGAATAAATAAAAAATGGCATAAATGTGACCCTGGACCACAAAACCAGTCATAAGGGTCCATTTTTCGAAATTGTATTAATTTATACACAGCTGAATGAATAAGCTTTCCATTGATGTATGGTTTGTTAGGATCGGACAATATTTGGCCGAGATACAACTATTTGAAAATCTGGAATCTGAGGGTACAAAAAAATCAAAATATTGAGAAAATTGCCTTTAAAGTTGTCCGAATGAAGATCTTAGCAATGCATATTACTAATCAAAAATTAAGTTTTAATATATTTAGAGTAGGGTATTTACAAAATATCTTCATGGAACATGAATTTTTCTTAATATTCTAATGATTTTTGGCATAAAAGAAAAATCTATAATTTTGACCCATACAATGTATTTTTGGCGATTGCTACAAATATACCCCAGCGACTTAAGACTGGTTTTGTGCTCCAGGGTCACAAATGGACTTAAAACAGCCTTCATTCTCTTTTCGCAAAGAAAATGTTACTAATGCCAGGTTCAGACTACACAATATTTTTGTCGGTCACGATAGTCACTGTGTCAGATTACACGATTTTGACTCCTAAAATCTTGTCGTGTCGTGGACAAGAAACATGTCAGACTACATGTTGC